CTGGGGCACGCTGCGCAGTCGCGCAGCCGCACGCTGCCGCCCCGCGTTCAGCTCGGGCCGAGGCAGCAGCAGTTCAACGGAAGGCCACACGAGGAGGCCCAGAGCCCCTCGCGTCGTGAACAAAAACCACGACCGCAGGTTTCCCCCCACTTTCGTTAAGTCGGGCGTGTCCCTCTTCAGGAGGAATTTTCAAACATAGTTACAACATAGTATGGGGACGATTTTTGGTATGTTTTTAAAACTATGTTTGAATATTTTTGACTACTTTGAAATTCGTCCAAAATCTGCCTGTAAGGGGACACGCCCGACCTAACCCTCGCGACGTCCTCCAGGAGCCCTTACCTCGGAGGTTGATAGACCTCCTACCCTGACACGTCGATTAAGGAAAATTGGTCGTTGTCGGTTCGCGAGAGGGCGTCGCGGCCGTCCTTTTTGCGGGTCCAGGTCCGTCGGTTTCGGTCCAAGGCCGTTTTCACTAAGGGGCGGTTTACTAAAGGGAGGTGTGTCCACCGCCGATTCCTGGGCCTCGGGACCGTCAAAAAACGACCCAGAATGAAGCGCCAGTCCCTGGGAAGGGGTCCCGACCTCTGGGGGTTCAAGCGACGGAACAATCACGACGTCGGGCGCTTGTGGCAGGCTTCTGGTGCCTTGCCACCTGCGCCTGCGACAGTCGGGAGGAGGTTGGTCACGCAGCTTCCCTGCCCCCCTTCAACCAGGATCTCGGACCCCTGGGGAGGGGCAGCAGGGGATGGGGAGCAGCCAGACGCCTCACGCAGCCCCGTCGCCCCCAGCAAGCGGGGCTCGGCGGACTCGTTCTACATGCTCGTGTGGAAGGTGTTCTACGTCTCGTACCTTGTGCTTCCGCTGGCGCTCTGACGCCCTGGCGGTTCGATTATTATTTACTCTCTGGTTCCACTGGGGACGCGGGTGCCAGTCCGCGGGCGCTGTGCGCCTCGGGGTCTGTTTGGCATTCGCCACGGCGGCGTGGAGCGCCACGTGCTTGCACACACGCACTTGCAAGCCATGATGTCCAAGGAGGAAGCGCCACCCCGACCTCCATAGCTGGCGCTTGTGCTTCTAAACATGGCCCTGGGCGTTGGCCGAACAGCCCTGCCGTGTTCGATCCCTCCCCTGGGTGTGTCCACGGAACGGCTTTGCTTGCCGGGGGTGTTGCCCAGGAGGGTGACAATTCTGCTTCTTATAATAGTCCGAAGGGGGCCATGGAGGACGGACCGAATGAGAGGAGAGCCCCCCCCTCAGGATGACGCTTGCCCTCCGTGCGCCGAGGCTAGCATCCTCCCCAGGGAGCCCGCCGCAGAGGAAGGAGAGGCGACACCACCTACCACCACCGCCGCCGCCGCCGCCACCACCACCACCACCACCACCACCACCACCACCACCACCACCACCACCACCACCACCACCACCACCACCACCACCACCACCACCACCACCACCACCACCACCACCACCACCACCACCACCACCACCACCACCACCACCACCACCACCACCACCACCACCCACCACCACCACCACCACCACCACCACCACCACCCACCACCACCACCACCACCACCACCACCCCTGCCGCCGCCGCCGCCGCCGCCGCCGCCGCCGCCGCCGCCGCCGTCACCGCCACCACCACCGCCGCCGCCGCCGCCGCCGCCGCCACCACCACCACAACCGCGCCGCCACCGCGGCCACCGCCGCCACCGCCGCCACCACCACCACCACCAGGGAAGCCACCTACAGCGAGGGGGTCCACGATGTCTCCTGGAGCTGGGGACGGGATGTCTCCAGCGCGAGAGGGTGACCACACCACTAGGATGACCCTCCGTGGCGGCTCGCGCTGGTGGTGGTGGTGGTGGTGGTGTCGCTTTCCCGGGTTCCCATCGCCCTTTGCCGCTGGCTCCTCCGCTGATGGATTCCTGGCCCAGGGGCTGTCGGGTGGGCAGTTCTGCATATGGGCAGTGTTGGGACTGTCTCGGCCCTCTTGGGGCTGTGTTTCCCTGGACGGTGCTTGCACTTCGGAGTTCTTGCTTTGGGTTGCCTCAGGAATTGTTGATGGGTTGCCTCAGGAATTGTTGATGGGTTGCCGAGGTTCCGCCAGGTTGCCGCCCATTGGCGCCTCCTGGGCGTGCCGAGGTTTCGCCGCGTTGACGCCCGCGGGCGCTTCATAGGCGCCCCGTGTGCCGGAGGGGTGTTGCCAGGGCTTGCCCCATCGACGCACCACATGGCTTGCGCCACGCACGTTGCACCGCAAAACTTTCGGGGGTGGACAGACGTCCTACCCCGACACGTCGATTAAGAAATTGGCCGTTTTCGGTTCGCGAGAGGGCGTCGCGGCCGTCCTTTTTGCGGGTCCAGGTCCGTCGGTTTCGGTCCAAGGCCGTTTTCACTAAGGGGCGGTTTACTAAAGGGAGGTTTGTCCACCGCCGAACCTTGAGCATCCACAGTGCAATCGCTCACAGTCTGGTGTCCGCGCTGGCCAGCATGGGGAGCTCTGCCAACCGTATCGGGCCATCCTGGGTTCGCTTTGCGGCCATCCTGCAGATGTGGCCGCCGTGCGGCAGTCTTTGAGAGCAGTGGGGCCATCTGCGGGCCCTCTGCGGGCCACATCGGGGCTTGGCCTCGTCGCGATGTGGCCTCGTCGGGACGTGTCAGGCTACCTTAGGCGGTCAGGGGCAATCTCGGGGGTCCCTGGGGCTCGTGCATCTTGTGGCATCGTGGAGGCTCTGGGCAGCACGTTTGATGACTCCCGACGCCATCCTGGGCACTATTGACACCTGCTTAGGCTGGTAGCTGTCGGTGTTAGTTCCGAGTCGGTTTAGCTGCCTGCGGCAAGTCCTTGACATTCTACCACGCCTCAGCGTGCTAGGGGGGCACGGTTGCGGTTTCTCGGCGCCAGATGGTGGTATCGAGGTCATCTTCCATATCCAGGCTCTTGATGGGGAATGGTGGGGCGTTCATGATCCACTAACCGCTACCGGGCAGTACTGCAGCAGTAGCGGGCAAGTGCTGGCCAGCAACGTACAGTAGACACGCAGCACAGGTGCTGCATGATGGAGAGGACGGCTGCTCTCTGCGGCCTGATGGCCTCACGCGGGGGCGGCTGGGCCGTTCTCGCCGAATTTTTCTCCAAGCGCGTGCGGCTTCTTTCGGGTGTTGCCAGAGCCGACCCTGGCTGAGGTGGCCCCTGCCTCCCTTAGGCAGGCGGATATGGCCTCCAGGGCACCCTTCACGAGGCCCAGAGGGCTCCAAGGATTCCAAGACGGCACGCAGAGCCAGGGACACCTCGGCCTCGGGAAATGGTCACTCACCTCTGGCAACCTCCGTTTCTTAGGTCGTTACCCCGGCCATTTGCGTATTCGCAGCGTGCCCGCGCTCATACGTAGAGAGCTGCCCCCGAATTGTCTAGCCTGTGGGTGCCGTGGGATATGTGCTTGCCTCGGAGCCGCAAAACCTTTTGAAGTGTTTAGGGAACCGGAAGGTTGAGGAGGAAGAGGGTGATCGGGATAACACGGAGAAGGGAGACGGAGACAGAGCAGTAGTGAGAGGGACGAGCAACAGGAGGAAGAGAAGAAGGACGAAGGGGATGATGATGAGGAGGAGGCGAACGAGGAAGATTAAAGGATGCACGTTGTTGTTCAGATGTACCGCGGGGAAGAAACTCTGTATCTGGACCGAGTGTGACCACGTGATCAGACGAACCCGTACGGCAACGCAGCGACTCAGCTGGTAGGGTGAGAAAACATGTCTGTCTTGCAGGGCATCGCGCATTCAACAGAAGCCCGAATTGTCCCCATCAGAGCATTGTTTTGTGGTCTTTATCTTGCATAAGCCATGAGACCAACCCTTCCTGTGCAGGTTGCGCATCGTACGAGTTTCCGCAAGCGTCTTGAAGTTATTCCTGTGCTTCCAAGTCCTCCTACTTCTGCGCCCTATTCCATGTCGTCCTGCACGTCCTCCGTACAAGTTCTGGCTCCTGAGCTGGTTGAGTAGCAAGGATGAAGGTTTCCCATGGGAGCTCTTCCCAACCGACGCTCCTTTTGCCTTTGACTCGGCGGCAGTTTTCTGGGCTTCGTCGCAGTTTGCCGTCGATGTATTACCTCATCTGACCAGGCCTGTCGTCGACAACATGGGGGAGGTGTGGGGAGGGGAGATGTTGCGGTCCAGCTCCTCAGTTCCCAACGCGCCTGTTTCGGTGATCCTGGCTCGCTTAGACTGGCTAGCAGGCTAGCTGGGCATGGGCCATGGGCTATGGGTGGTTGGTGCCAGTGGCGACGCATCTCGGGTACCGGGTACCGGCAGGACGATTAGGAGGCGGACGCTGCGGAACCTCGTCAGCCGACCAAGGGGGCCCCAAGCGGAGGCATCATGAAGCCGTGGACGTACCTACAGGGCCCCGAATCTGGCTCAGTGTTCGTGAAGCAGCAGGAGCTAGGCTCTTGCGAGTGGTGTCATCATGTGCCACCGTCCTCGACGCTTGCATACCCTCTCGGCCAACGCCATGGTTTCTTTTACTTAGCATGTCAGCTGACACAATTTAATTTGTGCCACCTGGTGACTAGCGCTTCAGGGTCACTTGGCTGCGCTTGCTTTCGTCGCGCGAACCCGTGTTTGAGAACCAAGCATCCCTCAGTGTTTGTTGGGTCTCATGCCCAAGCGCTTTTTCAACACATGCCGTCTGCCTGGTCTAACATTGAGCTCACAGCACGTGTTTCCATTCATGGGAGATGGTCCAGACTCCCACATGTGCTGTGGAGTTGCCCTTTGCTCAGCAGCGCTTCGATGCAGATGGTGTCAGGACCTGGATGTCCTAGGCAGGGCAGTCCGTCATGAAGTGGAGGATTGTTGGGCTCAGGATTTGAGGCCATGCGGCAACTGATGTGTTACTGGTCCCTGCTGCAGTTGTTCTGCCATCGGATGTTTTCGTCGTTCATATCCTTTCTCCTCCTCCTCTCCCTCATACGCATCATTCCCGCCCTTCCTCCTTCTGCTCCTCCCTGTGTCTCGTGCTTCTGGCCAGTGCTGTAGTCCGCTGGCCTTGATGGTGTTCTGCGGCGGCCACCCCGTCTCACATGCCGCTGGGTTGCGACCCCACCGCCGTCCTCCGCAGGAGGCTCTCCCCGCCTGCGTGGTTCGGCGTCGGCACCCGCCCTGCCCTGTCCCGCCCTTCCGACCCCAGGAGGGCCCCAGAGTTAGGTCGGGCATGTCCCCCTGCAGGCGGGTTCTGGACAAAAAATCAAGCATACCCCAAATAGATTCGAAGATGTTATCAACAAGTCCAAACATCGCCCCCATATTATTTCTGGACTGTCTTTGAACATTCCCTCTATGGAGGGACAGGCCCGACGTAACCCCAGGAGGGCCCCAGAGGTCTCTCGACCCCTTCCCCGCGGGCCTGTCTCCGTCGGGGCTCCAGAGGGAGGTGGAGAACTGCCTCTCCGGGGAAGGCGGTCCAGAGCCCTGCAGACTCTGGGGCCCAGACCCTTCGATGCTGCAGTCAGGGACACCTGCCCGAGATTCGAGGGTCCAGGTCACCAGATCCTAGGGCCCAGACCCCTCGATCCTACAATCAGGGAAACCTGCCCGAGATTCCAGGGTCTGGATCCCGAGATTCTGGGGTCCAGATGCCTAGATTCTCCAGTCTAGGCCCTTCGATCCTGTCGTCGGGGGCCGGCCCGAGATTCGAGGGCTGGAGAGAGAGAGCGGCCCGATGGGGGGCTGGAGAGAGCGGCCCCCGGAGGGCCGAGGTGAAAGCAATCGCGGCCGGGACTGGCAAGCTCAATCCTCCCGAGGCCCAGGCTTCTGCGATTCATGCCAGAAAGAGTCCAGGCCTCCCAGATGGGGTCCGAGTGGATGGGATCGGATGATCGCGCCTCATCGACGGTGCATCGGCGATGCGGCTCGATGTGGAGATGCGGCGCGATCCTCCGACCCCATCTACTCCGACCCCATCCAGGATGCCTCCAAAGATGGTGCCCTGAGGGATGGGTTCCTGAGGACGAGAACCTCAAATAATACAGCTCAGCTTGTGATCCACATCCTGTCCTCAGGGCCCCATCCCTCGTGTCCCCATCCTCGAACCTCCGAAGGCAGTTGCGGCCGCTGCCCCGCCCGTATAGTGGGGGGTATTCCAAGGTAACGGGCCCAGCTGGATGCTCATATGTGCTTCTCCCAGGGGCCGTCTGAAACTGTTTTTCTCTAACCCCACCTCTGCCCCTACCCCACGTTTACGTCCCCATGACAACCGTGGTTCGCTGCCTAGAGCGGTCCTGGAGGAGGGATAGCTGTCCAGCATCCCACTGGTACGTCCTCGAACCTTGAGCAGCAGCTCAATCCCTGAACTGTGCACTGCCACTTCCCTTTTCAGGGAACGCCCTGTCCCGCTCTGTCTCCTTTCTGTCTGAGGGAGCGGGCGTGGCCGAGGGATCGTCGCCCTGCACCCTGCCGATATGTCCTGTAGCCAAACCTTCACCCCAGAATTGTGCACTGCCGCTTCTGCCTTCAGGGCAGCGCCCTGCGATCTCTCTGGGAGCGCGGGGTGCATCGGGAGTCCGAGACAGAGGCATCCTTGCCGCACGCTCCCGCGATCCGCTCCAGCCGCGGCTGGACCACCTGAGCCTAGCATCAAGTCGGGCAGGTCCCTCTACAGGAGGAAGACTCAAAATTACTCAAACATCCTCTGTAGACTATTTTCTGAGTATTTGTTGATCATGTTTGATTTTTGGTTTGGCGATTTTTGTTTTTCGTTCACACTCCGCCTGTAGGGGGACATGCCCGACCTAAGCCTAGCACGACTCAACAAACACAGCGGGACCGTGGGACAAAAAAGCAACTCAGGCCCGAACGTCGGCTTTTAGGTTCGAGGCTTGAGCTGTTTCTCGCCGTTGGGTTTTTTGGGGCCCCATCGAGGCTGCTCGTCTCTACGGCTAGACCTGCTTCGAAGCTCTAACTGGTCGGCCGATCATGATGGTGGTGATGACGATGGTGGTGGTGTTGGCGATGGCGATTGTGATGGTGATGCTGGTGATGAGGATGACGAAGGCGATGATAACGAATCTACGGTTCTGAGGCTGATCCTGATGTTGAGGATGAGGATGGGGATGAAGATGAGGATGCTGACAGGCATGAGGGTGAGGATGCCGATGATGCTGATGGTGATGCTGATGCTGACGAACATGATGACGGTGGTTTTGGCGATGATAATGATGATGCTGATGCTGATGCTGGTGATGATGACGTTGATGATGATGTTGATGATGATGATGACGTTGCTGATGCTGATGGTGATGATGGTGATGATGATGGGTGGTGATGATGATGGTGATGATCAGGATGACGCTGCTGCTGCTGATGATGAGATGATAATGCTGATGATTCGAATTACGCTGATGATGGTGGTGCTGCTGATGATGACTCTCATGATGGTGATGATGCTACTGACGGTGATGATGGTGATGATGCTGATGCTGGTGCTGACGCTGCTGCTGATGATGAGGATGATGATGAGGTTGATGAGGATGATGCTGATGCTGCTGATGATGATGCTGATGCTGCTGATGATAATGCACATGATGGTGGCGGTAAGGATTCTGATGATGCTGATGATGATGTTGCTGATGATGTTCATGATGATGCTGATGATGAGGATGATGATGATGATGATTAGGATGCCGATGCTGCGGGTGATGATGCTGAACATGATTACGATGCTGGTGATGCTGCTGCTGATGATGCTGATGCTGATGATGATGCTGATTCTGATGCTTCTGCTGCTGCTGATGATGATAATCATCATCACCATCGACATCAGCATCATCATCATGACGCTCATGACGGTGATGACAAAGACGATCCAGACTGTGCCCGGGAGGTTCAGGCCACCAACTTGTTGGGGCAATCCAGACGGCCGTTCTCTCCGCGGTCAGGTCCTCAGGAGGCCCGCCTCGGGCCCCCCCGGGACCGTCCAGAGAGACGACCACTCTGGAGGGAGAGCCCGCTCTGGGAGGGCGTCGGGGGTCCCGAGGGGTGCACAGAGCATTCGGGAGGGGAACAGAGAGTGAAGTGGCACGCCGCCGTGGAGAGCAGGCCCACATGAGCGTCAAGAGAGACGACTCGGGAGGGACAGCCCGCTCTGGGAGGGCGTCGGGGGTCCCGAGGGGTGCACAGAGCATTCGGGGGGAGGGAAACGGAGTGTGAAGGAGCACGCCGCCGTGGAGAGCAGGCCCACGTGAGCGCGGGTTTCCATGCTCTCACCATGCGGTCCGCCGTGAGTCCAGCCCTTCGTGTTCTCGGCCTGCCCGTATCGAGCGGCACGCCGCCGTGGGGATCCCGTGCGCGAGTCACCCCGACGTGTTCTGCTTGCGACGGCCTGGCAGTGCGCATTCCGAAGTAGCACGCTGGTGGGTTCGCCGCGTCAGCGTGCCATGGATGCCGTGTCTGCTTTCACGGAGCCCGGCGCCGCAGAGGAGGAGGAGGAGGGAGGAGGAGGAGGGAGGAGGGAGGAGGGAGGAGGGAGGAGGGAGGAGGGAGGAGGGAGGAGGGAGGAGGTCTCGTCGAGCGTTGCGCAATCGGGTGGGGGCGGGCGACCACCGAGGGGGGGCGGGGGAGAAGGACGGGTGCACCCGTCGTGCCCCCCCTCTCGGGCCCCGAAGGGCCCCCCCCAGGGGGCTCCGCAGGGGCTCGGCAGGTGCGCGGTGCTTCGCCCGGCCCATGGCTCGTCGCCCCCTGGAAGCAACGCCCGATCTGGGGGGGCGGGTAAAACGACACGAGGATCGGGACAAAATCGGATCGGAATAACTCGAAATCTCTGAGAATCGGCGGGTTTGGAGGATGTATTGGGCGCCGCGGCCGCTCCAGAGCGTTCCGGAACGCTCTAAGAGCGCTCCGGACCGCTCTGGAGCGATTTATCCCGATCCTAGCCTTGTTTTAGCAGGGGGTACAGTCGGGGCGCTGAAGAAGGAACCCTTTACGTTGGGGAGGGGCTCGGTGTTCCTTGATCGTTCCACAGTTTGCCTCGGATTTTCCTCAGGGTTTCGATGGGAAGTCGAGGTTTCACTTCTGGACCCCGCGACCATGTGCGACCATGTGCGGGGGGGGGTACGGTGTGCGACCATGTGCGACCCCGCCGCCGGCGTTCCACGTTGAGCGCCGCTGGCGGCCCAGACTCGGTCGATGCTGAACGATCTGACGTTTCGGAAAGGGCCGATCGTTCCCGGTCGGACGATCCCCGTGGTGTCGGAGGCCAGCGCAGGTCGTCACGGCACGAGCCTGCCGCACCGTGCTTGCCCTCCCGAGACGCCGCGCCGCAGGCCCGGGAAGGGGCGGGGGGGTCATGGCGTGCGACCTGGAGGGCCGGGCATCCCTGGCGTGCCTGGCGCGGGCGCCACGGCGGCGCGACGCCGGGGATGCCGCGCATGGCGCCGGCGGCGGGATGGCGTGCATGGCCCGGGGCGGGCGGGGGCCGGCGGACGGGCGCGACGTGCTCCTGCGGATCCCTGTGGCAGTGGCGAAGCGTGGTCCCAGCAAGGAGTTTTCTGAGAGCCTCGCGTGGTCTGCAGAGGCAGTGCCTCTCGTGGTCCACGGTGTGGTCTCGGATCATTGCTTGGCTGGGGTCCGAGTGCAGTCAAAGTGTAAGTCGGGTGTGCCCCTCTACAAGAGGAGTATTCAAAACTAGACAAAAATAGTCAGGGGACGATTCTTCTGCATTTTTTTTGTATATTTTTGATCATTGTTTGAATCTTTGTTTTTTCCCCAAAGTTCCGTCTGTAGGGGGACATGCCCGACCTAAGTCAAAGTAGAGACAGCTGCATAAACATTCGCTCTCGGAGCTCCGCGCGGGTTTCCTGGATCGGGGCCGGGCCCGCGCGCCGGGGAGGGGGGATCGGCGTAGCTGCAGGAAGTCCGCGCGGAGCTCCGAGAGCTGATGTTCTGTTGTTTGTCCTTCTATGCAGGCCTCCCAGATGGGTCCAGCAGTTCCTGCTGGTATCGTTTCACCGATCCCCATCCCCATCCCCATCCCCATCCCCTTCGAGCCCCCCACCAAATTACCGCCCCAGTTGGGGATACACCCTTCGATTCCCGAAGGGAACGACCTATATCATCTAGGGGGGTAAATCGGCCAGTGGGGCCCATGCCACGCCGCTGGGGATGGGGATCCAAACGATACTCATCCTGTTCATGTTGAAGACGACTTGCTGTCCGCGTCGCCGCGGACGTTGTCTTTCTGAGACAGGAGGCCCCCTGCCCAACAGCAGCCGCTGCCGATTTTTGACAACAGTTGTTGGGCATCGTAACCGTTTTTCGGTAGCCACTTCAGGCGTACAAATTCTAGGCCTCCTGGGTCCGAGCAGTACGGGGTCGGAGGGCCGCGCCGAATCGCCGAGGCATCGGCGATGCGGCGCGATGTGGAGCCCGATTTTCTTAACGCCGGCGTCGCCGGTGCACCGCCGACGTCGCCGATGAATCGTCGGCGCGATCCTCCGACCCCTATCCACTTGAACCCCATCTGGGAGGCCTCTGATTTTTCGTTGTGGCTCGATGTGTGCACCACCTCGCTTGCTCGGCCAGGGAGCTGCCCCCGCACGGGCGCACGGCTTCGGTGTACGTGCGTGTACGCTTCAGCATCTCACAGCTCGGGAAGCTGAGGCGTCCGTACAGCGAGGTCCTCGGCCGTCCAGACCGAGACGGCCTGGTGCATACTTGGAGATCCTCCCAGGATCAAGGGCGGCCTCGGCGCTGAGACGCTCTTCGAGATGCGGGCCGGCCTGGACTCCACGGTGGCGGATGTGAAGGCCATGGTCGAGCGCCAGTGCTCGAGCTAAACGGTGGTTTGGCGATGCCGTGGGCCGCTTTCGTTTTGGTGTTGTTCCGCAACAAAGGCAGTTCGAAGACAACACGAATGTAAGCGCAACCAACACGCACACGCAAACACTGTTGAGCTCGAGCCCTGGTCGAGCGCTTCGACGGCACGCCGCCGCGCGAGCAGCGCCTCGTCATCGGCCACGCCCGCGGTGTGCCGCTGCAGGACGGCGCCTCGCTGGGCGCCGCCGTGGCCGGGGACGATTGCCAGCTGTGGGACGCTCTCGGCTGAGCGCACGGGTGGCTCTTCGCCAGAGGGACCTTCTCAGAGGAGGAAGACGTGGCCATACCTCTACCCTTTGGCCGTTTTCCTCTTTTTGGGCCTCCCAGGAGGATTTCGTCGCCACCGCTGGATTCGCCACCCGAGGAGAAGTCCAGGGAGAAGCGGTATCGGTACCTTTTTGGTTTCCCCTTTTTCGGCGGCCACGCGCCTGGACCTGGCCTTTCCCCGCGGCCCCCAGAGGCCGCGCACCAGTTGGTCCCTCCTGCCTAGGGCCGCCCCCTGCGCGCAGCCGGTGCTCTCGGCGGCGCAGACCCTGGCGCCGCCGTGGACGTGCTGCTGCTGCGCCTGGCGCCCGCCTGGGCGGAGGCCATGGAGGGCCTGCGGCGGGGCAGCCTGGAGCTGGACGAGGCGGGCGCCGCGGCGCGCGGGGACCGCGAGCTGGTGCTGGCGGCCGTGGCGAGGTGCGGCTCCGCGCTGGAGCGGGCCACGGAGGCGCTGAGGGCCGACGCGGAGGTGGTGCGCGCCGCCGTGCGGTGCGACCCCGGGGCCCTGCGCTTCGCGGCCTCTGAGCTGCAGGACGACCGCGGGGTGGTGCTGGAGGCGGTGCGCCGGAGCGGCCACGTGCTCCGGCACGCCTCGCCGCGGCTGCGCGCCGACGCCGAGGTGGTGCTGGCGGCCGTGGCGAACTCGTGGAGGGCCCTGGAGCACGCCAGCGCCGAGCTCCGGGGCGACCGGGAATCTGGCCGCCTGCGGCGAGCCCGTCGCTTCGGGTGCAGCTCCGAGGACGTTCCGTTCAGCATCGGCGCTGGTATCTCCGTGGTGGGCCCAAAAGGGGGTCCAGCGACAAGGGAGTGGTGCAATAGATGTAGTGCAATAGGTCTGTGGGGTTGCAATACATTTGGGGCGTGCAATACATTCCGGGGCGCAAGCGAAATGCTGGATTTTCGCGTGCAATACATTTGTTGCAATACAATGCTATACAATTCTCCAGCGAAACACGTGCAATACAATTGCCCCAAATCTATTGCACCACCCCCTTGCAGCTGGACCCCTTTTGGGCCGCCCAAAATTGCCCGTGGTGGACAGCGACCCCATTCCGGCTTGACCCGTTCAGCCCGGCTTGATCGGGCTTGAATTGTAGGTTTCACTAATCCGGCCTGACTTGGCTAATTGGCTTCTCCGTCGGGCTTGCTGTTTCTGGCGAAGACCTCCCAGGAGTTGCTTCCCAACGTTTCGCCACCGTGCCAGCAAGTGCTCCCGGATGCCGAGGCGGCTATTCGATGGGCGGCAGGGGGCTGTATCATGTGAGTGGAGCGTCGTTAAAGGTCGGTGTGCGTTGATGGTTTGAGAAACAGTCAGATATCTCGGGCGTCTAGGTTTGATTATTGGATCATTAGACGTCGTCCTGGGGCGGAGTAGGAAGATGAAGGAAAGTTATGAGGAGGTTGAAGAGGAGGAGGAGGAGGAGGAGGAGGAGGATGACGAGGAGGAGGAGGAGGAGGAGGAACAGGTGGAACAGGAGGAACAGTAGGAGCGTCGTAGTGGACGACAGCGATTTGGAATTGAACATCATGATGGTGATGTTGATGAGGAAGACAATGAAGAGGAACGATGAACGGTGAAATCCTGGCTTGAAAAGACCCGCGGGGGACAAGTCATCGTGCTACTATACACTCCGAGCAGGGCTCTGTCGGGATCACAGCGCGCCCGCCCAAGTTGCGACACCTTGAGTGAACTCCCGCCATGCCTCTCGATTTTGGCTGTCAGCCTCCATTGTAAATCTCCACCTCGCGTGCCAACTCGTCTCAACACGTGTTCAAATTTCATCCGTGGTCTCCTCGACGGCTTTTCTGGCCGTAGCCTTCTGTTGCCGACTGTTGTCTGCCAACTCGAATACCACCAGCTGGTGACAAGAATGGCCCACTTTGACAATGACATGCGAGCAATCTGCCCTGTTCACCTCCATTTCTTTATAAGCTGTTTCCCGCCACGGTGTTGTTTAAACGGAAGCTCTTGCTCAATGAGAAACGGAAGAAGAGGGGGTGGAACAGGAGGAGGGGGAGGAGGAGGAGGAGGAGGAGGGGGAGGAGGAGGAGGAGGAGGAGGAGGATGGCCGTTACATGTGTCACCTTTCGTTGTCATTTGTCAAGGAGTTCTTGTGGAGCTCATATGGGCCGTCCTGGGGCTGTCTTGGTGTCCCGTGGGGGATCCATTTGTGTCTCGTCGGGCCGTGTTGGGGCCGGCTTGGGGCCGTCTTGGGTCTCTTTGGGCCGTCTTGGGAACATATTGGCCGTCCAGGTGGTTCAGTGAGGCCGTCTTGGGCGTCCAAGGGGTCTTTTCGGGCAGTCTTTGGTCCCTCCTGAGACCCTCTTGGGTTGTCTAGGGGGTCATCTTGGCGGCCTCGAGGGCCGTCTTGACTTGAATGAGGACCAGACTTGCGAAGGCACGAAAATATTTCAAACACCTGCGGAGCATCCATAGCGTCGGTCTTTTCTGGCCCCTCTGGGGGTTCTCCTCTGGCCCTCTTGGGCCGCCTTGGGGTGGGGGACTCTTGGGCTGTCTTGAACTTCTTGGCCCGTCGTAGGGTCTGGGCTCAAGTTCGGAGAAATGGGGACTCTCAAGTGGCGTTCTGGGGGTGGCGTTCCGCGCTGCCCTTTCCTCCTCCTCCTCCTCCTCCTCCTCCTCCTCCTCCCTACCTCGGGGCTCGTAATCGCAGCTCCTCTGTGCGCAGAACCCTTCGGGGTTTGTGACTGGCAATCTTAGAGTCATCGCGGTCGTCGTCATCGACGTCGTCGTCGTCGTCGTCGTCGTCGTCGTCGCCGTCGTCGTCGTCGTCGTCGTCGTTGTGATCAGAATCTTTCGGGGCTTGTACTCTCAGCATCTCTGTGCGCAGATCCCTCCGAGGCTCGTACCAGGCAACCTTAGAATCATCGTCGTCGTAGTCGCCATCGTCGTCGTGGTCAGAATCTGTCGGTGTTTGAACTCTCAGCTTCTCTGCGCGCAGAATCCTGCGGGGCTCGTGCCAGGCAAGCTTAGAGCCATCGTCGTGCCTTTTTTCGAGGCTCGTACCAGGCAAGCTTGAAGCGCAGAACCCTTCGAGGATTGTGCCGGCGCCACCTGTCACATAACCAGCAGCTGAACATTTATGCTACTGATGCTCAGTGCTGATCGCGACTTGTCGTTGCTCAGTGAAGCCCAGTGTTGCTCAGTTTTGCTTGGAGGTGCCCACGGCTGCCCAGTGCTACGAAATGCGTGTCCCCCGCTGCTCAGCATCAGTGAGTGCTGCTCGCTTGTGGGTGCTGCCCAGTGCTGCGCGGTGCTTGCTCTGTGCTTGCCAACTCTGGTGTTTTCCCGGTTGGTGTGTTCTGTTTGTTTCTGTTGGTCTCCGCTGTTCGCTGCGTGCCCACCGCTGGTCAGTACTACTGCAGCGCGGGCCAGCGTTGCTCACGGGAGATTTCTGCTGCTCAATAGTGTTCAGTATTGCTGTTGTTGCGCGTTGGCGGCCCACTGTTTGTTCACTACGTGTTCACAGCCTGATCGCAGATGATCGCCTTCTGCTCGCTGCAGATCAGCTCCTGGGCATCGATGCTCAGTACTGCTCACTGCAACCAGATGACTGCTCGCTCATGGACTAATGGCCGGTAATGGTCATTCGCGTTCAGTGGTGCTCCATGGTGTTGTGTTGCCCATTGCTGTTAAGTGTAGTCCAGTACCTGATCATTGCTATGCTACTGCAGAATCACTGATAGTTCATTGCAGTTGGATGATGCCCCCTGGCGGCTCAGTTTTGTCCACTCTGGCACAGTGCTTGACCAATGCGTGCTGGCTGATCGCGCGGCAAAAGCTCACTGCTGTGCATTCCTCGTCATTGTCGCCCAACGGTGCGCACGGCTGGTCGCTGCTTCATATGTTGGTGATCGTTGACCAGCCCCTGCCGCAGGAAAACGGGTTGTGCCCTCTTGAGGTCAGCATGGGTGCCCCCCTCCATGATGTGCGTGTGCTCCAGCAGCACCAGCATCCAGTGATAATCGGTGGGCAAGCTGTTGGCAAGCAGAGGATAATCAGCAACAAGCAGCGGTGAGCAGTGAACAGCCTTGAATCCACTTACAAACGCTTCGCGTAACCCCGTCAGCCCACCCAGAAACGCTGCCCAGACAAGTTGCCCTGCTCAGGAATGTGGAGTGACATGTGGAGGAATCACTGACTGGGTAAAACGTCGTACCCCAAAGGGGGGAACGTGGAGAAGGAATCCAAGGAGAAGTAGGAGGATTCGGATGAGGACGGGGGAGGAGGAGGAGGAGGAGGAGGAGGAGGAGGAGGAGGAGGAGGAGGAGGAGGAAGAGGAGGAAGAGGAAGACTAAGAAAAAGAAGAAGAAGAAGAAGAATAATAAGAAGAATAATAAGAAGAATACTAAGAATAATAATACTAAGAATAAGAATAATAAGAATAATACGGCGACTAATAACAAGAAGAAACATAATAAGAATAATCAGAATCAGAAGAATAAGAAGAAGAAGAAGAAAACGAAGACGAATAATAATAATAAGAAGACTAATACTAATAAGAATAATAATACGAATCATAATAATAATACGAATAAGAATAAGACGAATAAGAATAATAAGAATACTAATCATAATAATAATAAGAATAATAAGAATAATAAGAATAATAATAAGAATAATAAGAAGACGACGAATAATCATAATAATAAGAATAATAATAAGAAGAAGAATAAGAAGACTAATAATACGAATCATAAGAAGAACACTAAGAATAATCAGAAGAATCATAATAAGAATACTAAGACTAAACATAAGAATACTAATAAGAGGAGGAGGAGGAGGAGGAGGAGGAGGAGGAGGAGGAGGAGGAGGAGGAGGAGGAGGGAAGGCGGAGGAGGAAGAGGAGGAGGAGGAGGAGGCGGAGGAGGAGGAGGAGGCGGAGGAGGAAGGCGGAGGCGGAGGCGGAGGCGAGGAGGAGGAGGAGAGGAGGCGGAGGGAGGCGGGGCGGAGGAGGAGGAGGAGGAGGGGAGGGGGAGGGGGAGGGAGGGGGGGGGGAGGGGGGGAGGAGGAGGAGGAGGAGAGGAGGAGGAGGAGGAGGAGGAGGAGGAGGAGGAGGAGGAGGAGGAGGAGGAGGAGGAGGAGGAGGAGTAGGAGGAGGAAGGCGCAGCATGAGTTTGAGGTTGAGGGAGATGATGAAGGCTAGCAGAAAGTCCAGAGGCTTTTTCGATGTTTTTCGGACTCTTCTCGGATTTCGTTCGAGAGCTTCTGGGGGTCCTCTTGAGGCGTCTTGGGTGCTTCTTGGGGGGGTTCGTGGGGCCCCTTCGGGGTCTCGTGTCAGTCTCCAGTGGTCATTTCGTGGGCATCTTTCGGGTATCTTGTGGCCTCCTGGGCACCTCTTGGAGCCGTCTGGGGACCCCCTTGGGGGCCGCGGGGGGCATCGTGGGGCCATCTTGGAAGAGGTCGATCAAAAGAGGGGGTCGCCGTAGTTAGTGTGCCCCCCCGAAAGCCAACGTATGGCCAACACCATAATGAAATCAATGGCATTGGCCTCCTCGCCGAGGCCTTTGGAGTCTTCTTGGGTGCCTCTGGGGGCCTCTTAGGGTCTTGGTGGGGCCTCTTGAGGACATCTTGGGGGGCCTCTTATAGGCCTATTCGGGCCTCCTGGGCATCTCCTGGGGCCGTCTTTGGGCACCCATGGGAGCCTCGGGGGCCATCCTGGGGCCATGCGGGGGACTTCGATCAAGGGAGGGTGGTCCTAAATCCTCCCCCTTTCCCCCCCGGGGGGCCCAGACGTGGCCAACACCACAGTAAAATCAATGATACCGGCCTCCGCGCCGAGGCCTGTGGGGGCGTCTTGGTTGCCTCTGGAGGGCCTCTTGGGGCCGTTTGGGAGTTTCTTAGCCTCGCGGGGCCGTCTTGGGGCATCCTTGGGAGCATTGGGGCCATCTAGGGCCCATCTAAGAGGATATCGATCAACGGAGGGGAGCTCCTCATTTAGGTCCCCCCTCTCTGGAGGCCCAGCTGTGGCCAACACGAAAGTAAAATCAATGATGGGTGATGGCTTCCCCGCCGAGACCGTTTTGGACGCTCTCCCTTCCACACCCATTGGGGAGGGGGGGGAGGATAGGGTAACGCCCTCACCGAAGAAGAAGGGGAAAGGGGAAACTCGCTAAACCACCCACTCACGCCCTAAAGGGCTGGTGTGATTAGTGAGCAGCAGTGAGGCACCAAAGAGTAAATAGCGGGCAATCAGAGATCAATCATTGGACACGCTGCGGGCACCGGTGGCCAGCCATGAGTTGCATGTGGCATCAGTGTGCAATTAGCGAGCAAACCGTGAATAATAAGTGAGCAGCACGAAAGGCTTCATTGCCTGCGCGCTGATCGGCTACTGCTGCTGAC